CATCCTCGGTCCTAGTCCGGAGCCCGCAGTTATGGAGGGATGATGGCCTTTGATCTGCAGTATGTTGAATCATCAGACGTGGAGCCTGCAGGTGTGGTGGGCAGACTCCATGGAGGTGACCATGCTGAAGCACCTGCTTCCCAAGCACTGACCACCTCCCCTGGAGACATCAGCACAGTCGCAGTGCACCAGGGTGTGTTCCAGTGCAGGTTTGTCCAAGGTGCTCTGGGTGGAAGCCCAGCCCTGCCTGCCTTGGGGATCCAGGGCAGCCCCAAGTACAAGGACCTCTAACCTGGGTGTGCCAAGGTGTGGGGATATGTGTTCCTTTTAGCAGGTCCTCTGGACACAGCACTCTAATACACCCAAATCACAGAGTTCTAACAGGTGACATGTGTCCAACTGAGGGAGAAAGGCTTCACCAGAGAGGATTAGGTACCTCAGTGCTCGCAGCCCGTCCCCAGACCCCAAAGCCCTGTGCCCCCAGCAGAGCCATCTCCACGGTACAGGGGGTTGTGGCTGCCCAGCAGCCGTGGTATGCTTTCTCTCTATAAATTCCTCTTTGAGTGATCTGTGTTGCTGCAGAGTCCATAGGAGGAACCTGGTGGGGCGGTGGAGGTGGATGGGGACCAGTGAGACATTCATATCCTTGACTGTAGACAGAACTGACCAAAGTCAATGCTGCAGTAGCAGCCAGGTCCCTGGAGCTCTGACCCTCTGTGTAGGGAGGGGATACTCAATTGCTGACAAACCAAGATGGGCCTGAGGTTTCCCTTGGCTCTACTGGGCAGTGGCCTTAGCAGGAGTTCCCTAGCCACTTACCCCTTCAACCTCTCTAGACCACCTAGGCACTCTCTAGGCACCTGCTGGCCTTGCCCTTCTTCTGATGGCTCTTGGACAAAGGCTGGGATTAAGTGTTAGTTGGCTTTGGACTTACCAGCATGCACACCTTCTAGGGCCTAGATTCACAGCTGGCAGGAATGGGGAGCCCAGCCCACCTGACATTTGCTGGTGATCTGATCACGTGGTGCTCAGGGTACACTAAGTGTCCCACACTGAAAATGTCTTCATCTAGGAGAGGCTGAAGCATGTGAGCAACAGTCAAGTGAGGCCTTGCTGCCACCAGTTGTGCTTGTGGGTGACTGCCGTGTCCTTCCCTGTCCCATGCCACTCTGCAGCAGCAGGTGGGCAGAGCTCAGTGCTGTGGCAGGACGTCAGATGTGGATGGTCTCCTAGAGGTCAGCAGTCCTGGGCTCTTCATTCAGTTTTCCTAACGTAGACCACCCCAGGTTCCCCACTCAGACCAGGGAAGCACCACGGGCAGTGTTGTCACTCAGAGTTCAGACGTGACCTCGCTTTGCTTCCAGTTTTTCTCATCTGGGCTCTGCGAGCTGACGGGGGGCGGGGGCAGCTTGCCCTTGGTGTAGCTTCATGGCCTGGCCCTCAGCAGCCATCCCTCCCCAGCCTGGGCGCCCCTCCCACACGCACTGCTTCTCTACCTACTGTGCCCTCCTGGCCTTGCCCTCTACCCTCTCCATGCCCTCTGCAGCCTGCCCTTTAGCCCTAAGGCTCCCTGAGGTCATGGTCCCTTTCGCTCTGCATCCTTCCTTCCCTCTAGTGTCCCCATTCCTCCCCACTCCTGGGCTGTGTGATGTAAGAAGGAATATGTATTGGGGTCCTCCTCTCTTTTCCTGGCACATAGAATGCAAAATGCTGGGACTCTCCCTTTGTACGCTAATGAGATGCCTGGTGGCTGGGCCCCTGGAGAGTCCAAGGAGTGGGGCTGGCCTCCAGGAGAGCCACCAGGCCATTAAAGGGTCAGAACTTCGGTCCTGCCCCACCCCCAACCTCGTGGCAGAGGAAAGGGGCTGCAGGCTGAGTGGAACACCAGCAGCCAGTCATGCCTGCATAATGAAGCCTCCATAAAAACACAGGACAGGTTGGGACCGCTTGTGAGTTGGTAGCCATGAGGAGGTGCAGGAGAGTGGTGCACCCCAAGAGGACATGGAAACTCCTGCGTCTCCCGGTACCCTGCCCGGGGCATCTCGTCCATTTGGCCAGTCTGAGCTGCGTGCTCTTTAGTGCAGGAGCAGATGTAAGTGGGGAGCACGTCTGCATTCTGTGAGCCATTAGCCAACCACAGCTCCAGGACGGGGCGTGGAACCTCAGGTTTAGAACCAGTGGGTCAGGTACGCGGGGACACCTGGCATCTGAAGTGGGATGGTCCTATGCTACTGGGCGCCAACCTGTGGGTCTGCACTCACCCCAGGTGGACATGTCAGAACTGAGTAAAGCTGCAGGACACCCTGCTGGTGTCCACAGGGCATCGGATTGTTGCAGGAGAGAAAAGGCCTCCTGGGGTCAGAAGGGAAGTTGGGATGTAGGAGGAGTAGAAGAAAAAGCTTCCCCGCCCCAGCCCTTGCCCGTCTTCACAGAGGGTCCTCAGAGGCCTGTTGTGAAGTCTACATGGCTCAGCTGCTGTTCGGCCTCTTTCTTTTTCTTCTTCTTTATTTAAGTCATCGGTGTCCCCTCCTACCAGATTGGACACAGATATCAAGCACGGACAGTCAGCCAGGCCTTGCTCGGGCACAGGAGGTCAAACTGTGCTAAGACACGCAGGCCTCTGTCCCAGGACACCTCCCTGCCACCTGCCCTGTGCCCCAGCTTGTCACACACACAGGAATTTTGAGCAGACTGAGCAGCAGGCAGGGAGCCAAAGTCCTGAGCTGGCCCCTCCCAGTCCTGGAACAGCCTTTCGACCCTCAGCAGAGAATTGAAATCCGCCCTGTTCAGCTTTGGTTGAAGGGGCTCTAAATGTGTCACCTCTCCCAGACATTGCCCTTCAAAGGCTTTTTCACTGTTTGTTGAGTGAAGACCTTACTTGCAAAATATTAGCAAGGAGGTGCTCTTCAGGATGCAAAAGGACATTTTTCTAAATCATATAGTGAAGAAGGCTCTGAAGGGCCAGAGGACGCTGGACGAGAAGGCCATGGGTGCTGGGAGAGCCCCTTCTCCTTGGCCTTGGCCAGTTCCTCCCACTTCCCCTGAGCTCCATGCCTTCCTCAGGGGCCTCAGCCCTGCTCAGTGCCAGGGAGTCACTGTCCAGGCCAAGCCCTCGAAAACAGGCTACAACCAGAGTGCAGGCTTGAGAGTCAGGCTGCCTAGCCAGCCTCCTGGTCTCCATCTGTGGAGTGGACACAGGAGGACACACACCAGGTGGCCCTGGGGACTGAGTGAGTCAGGACAGGGAAAGGCTGTAGCTCAGAGCCCACCTTGTGGCTCTGGGTTCAAAGCCAGCTTCAGCAACTTAGCGAGACCCTGTCTCTAAATAAAATATAAAAAAAGGGCTGGAGATGTGGCTCAGTGGTTAAATGCCCCTGGGTTCAATCCCTGGTTATTCCACCCCCAACAAATGGAAGAAGCTAAACAAATCTGTTAACTGAAATGTTTAGGCCAGTGCACTGTGTTAGCATCTATGCAGTGACGGCCATTTCTCCATCAGCTGTTGACAGCACGGGAACATAGCTGACATCATTGAGAGAAAGAAATGTCCATCAGAATTTTAAATAAGCCAGGGCACAGTGGTGCCTCTCAGCTACTCCAGAGGCTGAGGCAGAAAAATCTCAAGGTTGAGGCCAGACTCAGCAACTTAATGAGTCCCTACCTCAAAGTTTAAAAAGAATAATAATAATAATTATTATTATTATTATTATTATTATTATTATTATTATTAAAGGGCTGGAGATGTAGCTCAGTGGTAGAACACCCCTGGGTTCAATCCCTAGTACCACCAAAAAAAAAAAAATAGACTTTCAGATTTCTTGAAATCCAGTCTAGAAGTGATGCCCACTGGGGGCTCTTCGTACAGTGCTGTCTGCCACAGAATGTGGAACCAAACATTCTCCTACAGGGAATGGGTTCCATAAATCCTTCCCTAAGCCCGATAACCCCACAGCCTAGGAAAGAGGCAGGCCTGCCCGTGTGTGGCGAGGTGGCGAGGAGGGCCTCAGTCGGCAGTCACGGTTGTGTCTGTGCAGAGAGGAACCGCACAGGTCTGTGTGCACACACCCCGCGCCCCGCTAGAATGCGGCATCCAGGAAGTGGCAGCAGTTGCCTCTGGGAGGGCTGTTGTGAGCGACAAGGCACAACCTGTGGCTTTCCTGCCATTGGCAATACTGTGTATTTTGAAATGTAATCTGAAAACTCCTCTTGTGACTGGCGTCGTAATGACACGGCGTCCTAGGGGTGAGGAGCATGGAGCAGGGTCCGGCTGCCTGGCTTCACTTCCAAGCTCCACCACCAGGTGGGTGAGCTCTCAGGATTTCTGACCCCTCGCGCCTCAGGTTTCTCATCTATGAAATGAGGTTGAAAAGGCCCTTGCACAGGGCCTGAGTGTGAAGCGGGATGTTCCATGTGAAAGCTCTCAGTCCCCTGTCACCTAGGAAGTGAGCACCCAGCACCAGCCACACTGCAGCACCTTCCCATCAGGGCCTGGGGAGTTGAGTGAGAACTGCCCCGATCAGGCCCAGCCCTGGCCTTTCTCCCCCTGGCAGGGAGAACTTTTCCAAATCTCCCCATTTGACTCTACTCCTTGAGGTGAGCCTGGCTCCTCTGGTACCTGCCTCTGTCACCAGCTGTCCACCTGAGGAGCTTGTTGCAGCCTTGTAATTACAAAATCACATCTGTGAGAAACCTTGGCACTGGTCCCCAATTTCTCCACTTTGGATTGGAACCTGCTTTCCAGAAACATGCTCATATGCACCAAGGGAGCTGGGCTTGTGGCAGGACCTGGCAGCCTGCTCGCCCCATGTGTCCTGGCCCAGGTCAACACCTCAGGCATATTGTAGGAGTGGGCAGTCTGGGTAGAGTTGTCCATAGCGTGCCCAGCCTCCTGTGGGGGACTCTAGCTCCACACCCTCTAGGTGCTTGCCGTGAAGGACGATTGTCCCGGCCATCAACCATCAGTTCTGGAGGGGCCCTAACGTCCTCCTTTCTGCTCTCAGGGGTCTAACGTAATGGAAGAGCAGGACCTGCGGGAAATCGGCATCAGTGACCCACAGCACCGGCGAAAGCTGCTCCAGGCTGCACGCTCTCTGCCCAAGGTGACCACCAATAGCACTGTAGCCTTGGCCTCTGCCAGGGCCAGCTCCATTTCCCTCTGCCTCCTAGACTGGGAACAGGGAAGGAGCTTGGCTCTGGTGTGCAGATCTCAGTGGAGTGTCTGCCCCTCATCGTGGAGCCCCAGAGAGCACAGGTCCTGTTCCCTTCCTCACTAAGTCCTGAAGCTTCTGGAGTCAGCGGAGCTCTAGGGACATCGAGCATCCTGTTGGGGCTGAGGAGGGATCCTCCTGGCTCAGGAGCCAGGTGCCACAGACTTGGCCTGACACCAGAGCCCGCTTTGGGGTTTCTCCTGCCTCACAGTGTCAGGCCAGCCCATCCTGACCCTGGCATCTGGCCCTCCCCAGGGAGACCTGGTAGGAGCAGGCAGCAGAGGAGGCAGCTTCCCAGGAGCTAGTGGGCCTGAGCCTCAGCCTCTGTGCTGGTGCAGTCCCGTCCCGTCCACTGCCAGCACTCAGGAAGCACCACTGCCCTGTCCCTGCAGACAGGGAGTTCTCCAGTGGTTTCCACTTCCCAGAGCTTGATAGAAAGGGCTGTGCCAAGATCAGTCTTGGGAGTACTAGGGAGTCAGGCCTCTAGGGACCCTCTTGACCTGGGCCCTTGGTCCCTGCATCCCCGTCCTGTGGGTCTAAGATGTTGGTCCCACCTCTTTGCCCTGTAGGTAAAGGCCCTGGGCTATGATGGGAACAGTCCCCCATCCGTCCCCTCCTGGCTGGACTCCCTGGGGCTGCAGGACTACGTCCACTCCTTCCTGTCCAGTGGCTACAGCTCCATCGACACTGTGAAGAACCTCTGGGAGCTGGAGCTTGTCAACGTGAGTACGGCTCCAGGCTGGGCCGCCGGCCCCTCCTGACATGCAGGTTCCCTCGGTGACAGCCTGGCCCACAGCAGGAGGCCTAGAGCTGGGGGGCTGGGGGCTGTCAGCCACTGACCTGCCTGCCCCCCTCCTCGCTGCCCAGGTCCTAAAGGTCCACCTGCTGGGCCATCGCAAGCGCATCATCGCCTCCCTGGCAGAGAGGCCCTACGAGGAGCCGCCGCAGAAGCCCCCAAGGTTTTCCCAGCTGAGGGTGAGTTGGGGGGAGGGAAAGGGTACATCTGTGCGCTTGCTCTTGGCATTTGGTGACTTCTTCAGAGACTGTGTGACGTCTGCATACAGGAGAGACAAATCCCTGCCCTCCCTCACAGAGGTCAAGACAAGCTCAGGAGAGAAAGGTTTTTGCCTGGTTATTTATCCAAAACACTTGAGATGGACTATAATAAAGAACTCAGTTTAAATATCACAAAGTTAATAGACCCCAAGCTCAGTGGGGCCAGTGTGGCCATTGAGCTCAGCTGTGCACCTGATGGGGACAAAGCAGGGTGGGGCAGAGAGGCTGCAGGAGCCCCCTTCCAGCCCTCTGACTGAGCCGGACAAAGCTAGGGATCCCCAGCCAGGATGCTCAGCTTCCTGGGCCCCCTCCCAAGTCTTCAGATTGAGAATTCCTGCAGGGTCAGTAAAAGGATCTATGTTTTTCTTTTCTTTTTTTGGCACTGGGGATTGAGCCCAGGGGCACTTAACCACTAAGCCACACCTCCAGCCCTTTTTTGTATTTTATTTAGAGACAGGGTCTCACTGAGTTGCTTAGGGCCTTGCTAAGTTGCTGAGGCTGGCTTTGAACTTGTGATCCTCCCATCTCAGCCTCCCCAGCCACTGGGATTATAGGCTTGCACCACATGTCCTGCAGAATCTGTGTTTTTAAAAGCCTCACAAATGATGATTGCTCAAGCCAGGTGATCCCTGACTGCGGAAATATGCTAGACTGTGTTCAGGGTACGCTTCCCCAAAACCTGCAGGATAGAACAGGCTGTGATGGCAAGTGACACGGCAGCCCTGCCCCGGCCCCTGACCTGCACTTTTTCCTGCCTGCTGCACATCCCATTCAGCTCTGCGGAGTTCAGAAAGGCTGTTTCCTTCCCTTCCATGAGAGGAGGCTGAGGCCTGGCCCCATTCTCAAAACCAAACACCCAGCTGACTTTGCTATCAGGTGCCCTCTGCAGTTGAGTGGGGTCTTGAGAAAGACTTTATATTTAGTCATACAACCCAGAGTCCTGCAATGGATTATTAGGGATGACTTCATCTTTGGGAAATCCTTCTCTGGTTCCCTTACCCTTTAACCATCTTTTTGGTATAGCCCCAGCCAAGGGACACTCTTGAACTACAAGTGGTCCTGATGGCCTCACCCCAGGCTCGTTGCTGTTGGCTCTCAGCTCCCTGCTTCTCCTGTCTCACTGACCTGCCCATGCCCAGCCCCAGTCAGCCCAGCACCCCTGACACCTCCAGCCTGCCAATGGACTGGGCTGATGACTGGTCGGCGTCACCCAGTTTCTCCCCCTACAGTGCCAAGACTTGATTTCCCAGACCTCGTCCCCACTGAGCCAGAATGATTCCTGCACCGGGCGGTCAGCAGACCTGCTGCTGCCTTCTGGGGACACAGGCAGGAGGCGGCATGACAGTCTTCAGGACCCTGCAGCACCCTCTCGAGCAGAGCGTTTCAGAATCCAGGTAGGCAGAAGAGACTGCAGCCAGGTCCCCTGGGTAGGGCAGGGCCTCCAGGAGCCACCTGCTGTGGCTGAGCACTATTGTGCTGGCATGAGTCACGAGTGACCCCAGCCTGCTCCCCTCACTCACCACGCAGCTCCCTGGGTGAGGCCCGTCCAGCCCCAGGCCTCCCAGAGCAGACTGTAATGCACGCGTTGGGCCTGCCTCGGCGCACCACACCCCAGACGTCCTCCTCACAGCTCGCTCTGCTGGCTCCTCTGGGACCATAGCCTCCCACAGTCCAGCCCTGCAGGCCCTTGCTGGTCACCACAGCCATCACAGAGCCCTTGTCCCCTCCACTCTCGCCCTGTCTGTTCCTCAGCACCAGTGTCCCTAAGCCCCAACTCCACGTCGTCATCCCACCTGCCCAACAGAAGCTCATCACAGGCTGCAGGGTGCCTCCAGCCCCTGCCCAGGGCTAGCCTCTTGCACTGAGAGCCCTCTGCCTTGGGGCTCACTTTCAGGGCTCCCAGATTTACTCAGGACTTACCTGTCCCAGTTCCAGCCTTGCTCACATCTCTGGCTTTAACCCTTGTCTGTCCCTTGGCCTGTCTGTGTCCCTCTGCCCCCAGGGTGAACTCTGCCCTCTACTCACCCCTCCCACTGCTGCCCACCATCCCTGGGGTCTCCCGTGTCCACCACTTTCCACAGCCGAGCCACATGTTTTTCTTTCCACATTTTTTTATTGGTGCATTGTAGTTGCACATATTGATGGAGTTGTTGTTACATATTCATATATGCAAACAAGGTAACAATATAATTTGTCCAGTATCACTCCCAGCACTTCCCCCCTCCCTCCCACCCTTTGGTCTCTTTCCTCTACTGATTTCCCTTTAATTTTCATGAGATCCCCACCCCCACATTTCTTTTCCTTTTTCTGCTCTAGCTTTCACATGAGAAAAACATAATGACCTTTGACCTTCTGAGTTTGGCTTAGTTCTCTTAACATGATGGTCTCTAGTTCCATCCATTTTTCCTGTAAATGACATAAATTCATTTTTATTTATGGCTGAATAAAATTCTATTGCATATACATAGGACATTTTCTTTATCCATCATCCACTGATGGACACCTAGGCGGGTTCCATAGTTTGACAGCCATGAATTATGTACGATCTAATATGTACGTCACCCCTCAGCTTCAGTGGCTCTGTGTGGAGACTCTGCGTGTTGCTGGGAGTGGGAATCTTTAGCGTTTCCTGAATCTTCCTTCCACTGGGGCCTGGACTAGAGGACCCTCTCCCCACCCCTAGCTGCTGCCAGAAGGATCCATTGAAATGTGGCCTCGCCCTGGTGTTTCACTCCCCCCACCCCCACCCCAGGACTGAGTCCACAGCCCTTGACTGGGATTTGAGGCGCTCTGGCACCTGGCTCCTGCTGTGGCCACCCCTGTTCTGTGTTGAATGACCCACAGCTAATGCTCCCCTACGTGCTCTGCTGTGTGGTCCCTCCATCTTTTTCGAGACTCATCAGACAATGCTGACCCCTCCTGCAGCCCTGCTCCTGGCTGGCTTGGGTCCCAGCTACTCTGCCTATTCCTTGGTGTCGGTAGTGCCCCCCACTCCACCACAGTCTGCTTTTCTGCCCCCCCACCCTCTGCTCTGACCCTTGACCTCATTGAGGTCACCAGCTTCCTCCCTGATGTGGAGCCAAACAGGCCCCTGAGCTCCCTTGGAGCAGGTGGGCAGCTGTCCGACTATCCGACTGTGTGTTTTGCAGGAGGAGCACCGCGAGGCCAAACTAACCCTGCGGCCGCCCAGCCTAGCCGCCCCCTACGCCCCCGTGCAGAGCTGGCAACACCAGCCGGAGAAGCTCATCTTCGAGTCCTGCGGTTACGAGGCCAACGTGAGTCACTCTCGTCCTCTCAGGTGGCCAGCCTCCCTGCTCCCACCCCTTCCCACAGGCCCCTGACCCTCTGCAGTACTAGGCCAGGGCCATCCTCTGCCCTCATCTGTTCCTAGAAGCCAAGGGGAGGAGCAGAGGCCTCTGGGTAGGTCTAACCAGAAATGAAAACGGGGGCCTCCCCAGCTGGGGTAGGAAGGGTGTTGTTGGGAGAGGTGAATACTGTATGGTAGGACGTCCCAGATTTCCTGGGTCACCTGCATGGATGCAGACATTCCTTGCTGATCCCAGTTGCTGCTTGTTTCACAGTATCTGGGCTCCATGCTGATCAAAGACCTGCGCGGGACAGAATCCACGCAGGACGCCTGCGCCAAGATGCGGGTAGGCTACCTGTGGGATGGGGGGCGTGCCTAGGACAGAAAGCAGCAAGCCGAGTCCTGGCTGCAGCTGCCCAGGCCCACCACACTGCAGAGGGATGGAAGCGGGCAGGGGCTGTAGATTCCAGGGGAATGGGGCGTTCTCAGGACCACCCTTGTTTCCTATAGAAATCCACCGAGCACATGAAGAAGATCCCCACCATCATCCTGTCCATCACATACAAAGGTGTCAAGTTCATCGATGCTTCCAATAAGGTGTGCTTCTTAGGAGGACTAAGAAGGGGTGGGGCCATCTCCCCTTCTGAGCCATGGGGCTCGAGACAGCAACCTGGTTCCCTCTTTTTACTTCCCGTGTCCACCACTTCCACAAGTTCTTGTCTCTCATATGCTCTGTATCCTTGACCCTGGATCCTACCCCTGTCCCCACTGTAGTGGCAGCAGGTGCTGCCTTCCCAACTCAGGTCTACTGGCTTCCCTGCTCATGGGCCCTCAGTGGTATATCCCTCAGAGAGCAGAGGACTCCCCACGCCCCTCTTGAGACCCTTTCCACCTCCCTGTACCCTTGGTGGTGGCAGGGGCTGGAGAGAGCTCATGGTTGGCGGTAAAGGCTTCACTGCCTTAGTTGCCGTGGTCCAGGTGAGACCCATACTTAAGCCAGGCAAGACACTGCTCTCACTCCCACTGTTGGGGGGAAGAAGTGGGGTTTGGCTAATGTCTAGGCTGAGATGAAGAAAGGTAGCGACGTGGGAGGCCATGGTGGGCGGTGCCAGAAGCATTCTGGGTGGAGCCCAGAAACACCAGAACACTGCTTCCCCTCAGAACGTCATCGCAGAGCATGAGATCCGCAACATTTCCTGTGCAGCCCAGGACCCAGAGGACCTCTGTACCTTTGCCTACATCACCAAGGACCTGCAGACTAGCCACCACTACTGCCACGTGTTCAGCACAGTAGATGTGGTGAGTAAGGGGCCACCTGGGCCCCAAGAAGGCAGTGGGGACTGTGAGCCCTGGAAGGGTCTGGCCCTCTCTGGCTGGGCACGGAGGGCTGCTGTCCTGGCCCCTGCTGGCGCTTGGCAAAATGTGTAATTCCTAAGTGGAGCCCAGCAGCATCCATTCCTGTCCCTTTCATGTAGTGAGGAGACTGAGTCTCAGAGATGAAGGAATGGCTGGCTCTGCAGCTAGCAACAGAGGTTCTCAGCTCTTGGCTCACTGTTCATTGGTCAGGCAAGGCCTTTGTTCTCCAGCCTTTTGTCTGTGAACCCACTGCCCCAACTCCCCAAACCTTCAGTGGGCAGGCTCCTGAAGTGCCCTCTGCGTCGCCCTGGGGCAGCAGTGCCCTCCGCAGTAAGCGTCTCCCAGGAGGGCTGCAGAGTTACCTCCTCCACACACAGCTGCCCACAGAGCCTGCACAGGAGCTTACAGCCGGTGCCAGGGATGCTCTCTGCCCTGAGACCAGGTCTGGCCAGGACTCCAGGCCATCTCCTCACCTCAGCAGGGGCGTCAAGTCCCTGTCACCCTCAGGAAAAGGAGCTATTTCCAGAATCTCTGTGGTTCCTGAACGCAGATCTCTCTGGATAGTCCCTGTCCCTGGGTCCTGATCCAGCTCACCCTCTGCTTGCTCTGGGCCAATGGGGTCTAGGAGCCTGGGTTCTGAAATCAGGCACCCAGCTGTGCCATTTGTGGCTGTGATATCTTGGAAATGTCACCTCACCTGTTTTCCTCCTCTGTACAAAGGGAATTATAACCAGCCTCATGGGGCTGCCTGAAGCTTAAATGAGGTGATCCACACGACCCTGGTGATCGATGGCTGATTACCTGCAGCCGACCCTGCTGTAATGCAGCACCCATGCTCCTACCATCACCACACTTTGTAAAATCAGTCAAGACCACAGAGTAGGCCTGGCCCAGTGGCACACGCCTGTAATCCCAGAGACTCAGGAGGATCACAAGTTCAAGGCCATCTTCAGCAATACAGTGAGACTGTCTCAAAACACGTTTAAAAAGTACTGGGTGTAACCCTATGGTAGCGCCCTGGCCTATCGTGCACAAAGCCCTGCGTTCCATCTCTAGTACCACAAAAAAGAAAAAAGAAACACTCTTAGGGTTTATCGGCAAATAGAGTTGAGGCATAATACTAGCAAAATTGTCAGTGACATGGTTAAAATTTAAAATAGAACAAAACCACTAGCACTATTTTATTCATGTTAGATCATTAAGAAATACCTTTAATACTACAGTAGCCATAGTTCTACCTTGAGAAGGACCTGAGGTTGGCCTGCAGGACACGCACTCCCAGCCAAGTTTGCAAGTTGGAGGCCAGCCTGGGCAACGTGAGTGAGACCCTAAGCAACTTAGCACGACCCTGTCTCAAAATAAAAAATCAAAAGGGCTGGGGATGTGGCTCAGTGGTAGAGTGCCCCTGGCTTCAGTCCCTGGCACCACAATAAAGAATTGCCCTCCTTAGCCCAGGCCCACTGCCTTGTGGGAAGAGAACAAAAGTGAGGGAGAGAGGAGAGAAGGACAGAGACGGAGGAGTCAACCACACAGTGGCCAGGAGGTGGGCAGGCTGCACAGCTGGGTACCTTCTGAGGCGGAGGCTTCCAGGGGAGTGCTGAGGCACCGTGCAGATGGCACGTGCGCTCTGTTCATCTCACGTGACTCGGCTCGGCAGGCTGCGGGTTTTATGTGTACCTAGTGTTTCTGTCAGACAAAATCGTACCCAAGGACACAAAAAAACTATTTAAATTTTGGTACTGGGGATTGAACCCAGGGTGTTTTCCACTGAGCTACTTCCCTAGCCCCTTTTTTAGATAGGGTCTCACTAAGTTACTGAGGCTGGCCTCAAACTTGGATCCTAACTGTGTTTTGTTCAAATTTTTCCCTAATGTGCCACTTGCATTGGAACAAATTTGGGTTTTTTCAAAACAACAATTCCGTTTTCCCTGTGAGGGTGGGGAAGGTGTCAGGAGGCAGGGGGTGACTCCTAAATCCAAGCATTCAAGTGGACTCTGCTTCCTCCCAGAACCTGACCTATGAGATCATCCTGACGCTGGGCCAGGCGTTCGAGGTGGCCTATCAGCTGGCCCTACAGGCCCAGAAGTCCAGGTCGCTGGGGGCCTCTGCTGTCGAGATGATCGAAACAAAATCTTCCAAACCGGTGCCTAAGCCTCGGGTGGGCACAAGGAAGTCCGCAGTACGTGGGCCCAGTCGTAAGACTCCCCGGCTCCCTGACCCACGGTTGCAGCTTGGGCTCCCTCCTCCCCAGGGACAGCCCTCTGGCCCCTACTCCCAGGCCCCTTCCCCGCCCCAGGGCCACAGCTCCTCTGCCCCAGGGTCTGCTGCTCCCCTCCTCTGTCAGGACAGGCCACCATGGGGCTGCTGAGAGCGGGGCCTGTGGGAGCCCACAGTGACCTGGTCCCTGTGTCTGTGTCTGCTTGCTCTGCACCCCAGGTACCGCTGACCCCTGATAGTCGCTGTTGTCACTGTCACTCCTGCACCACCCACCGCCCCTCCTACCTGCCGCTGCCGTCTGTTAGTCCTGGAGTCAAGGTCTTTGCGCCTCCTGCTGTCTTGTGTGTCAGTCTCCCTCAAGTGACGTGAGCTTTCTCAGACTCTGGTGGCCTCCCCTCTACCTGCACTGACACTCTCTTCTTTCCTGAGACACCCTCTGCCCTTCCTGTGTGTGCTTTAGCTGTTTCTCTGTCGTGTCCCCTCCTTGAGGTCTGGGGTGACTGCTGTGGTCTTCCTCAGCCTGAGCTCTCTGGCCCCAGGACTGGGGTTTGCAGGCCCCACATGGGATGGGTTTGGGGCTTAGAGCAGGAGGCTCTAGTGGGTTGGTTCCTTTACCCACACAGTCCTAAGAAACCCCTGGGAGAGGCACTTGTCTCTGGAGGTGCTCCAGCGAGGCTGACACTCCTCCCGTCCCCTCCCAGGGGCCTGCTCCTTGGCTCTACGCTGGGCCCCACCTGCCCCTGGCCCGGGGGCAGCTGCTCACTCTTGCCCCATTTCCTTGTTTGGCAGCTGGAACCACCCGACACTGACCAAGAGGCCCAGTCCCACGCCAGTGTCTCCTGGATTGTGGACCCAAAGCCAGACTCCAAGCGGAGCCTCAGCACCAAGTATGAGACCACTATCTTCTAACAGCCCACCCTGTCTCCACTAGTCTCACTGTGCCTTTGCCGTCCGATCTTTCTGCTGTCTCGACTCTCTCCTTCCAGCTGCCACCACCACGGCCCCACCTTCGCGGGGACCTGCCCCCCTCCCGGGCAGCAGCTGTAGATGCTACACTCACAGCTCTTGTACCTAATACCACCGAACACTGTGAATTCTCCCCTTGGGCTGAGGACAGCTGGGGGGGCGAGTTGCCTTTGAGGTGGGCACGAGGGGCAGAGGGCTCTGCTGCGACCAGGAGCCCTGCAGTGGGCACTGCATTGCTGAGGGGTGGGCTTTGGGCGAAGCCAGTGGGCGCCTGGGAGCTCTGTGGAGCTGGCTGTTCTCTCCCGTCTTCCATCCTGAGCCACAGCTGGATGCCAAGAGCTAACTCCGTTCACCTTTCCTGACACAACCAAGCACTGTGATCACCTGGTGCCAGAGCACCCTGCACTCTGCCCACAGCTGGATGCAGGGCGCAGGGCTGTGAGCATCTGAGGCCCACAGGCTGGTGTCTCAGGGCCCCTTGTCCTGGTGGGCCTTCCATGCCAAGGAAGCAGGGGCCTGTGGTCGTCCCCTCCTCACATCTCACCACTGAGAACAGGTGTAGCGGTCCTGGCTCTGCAGCCCAGCTCACGAGGAGGAGACCCTTTCTGTAGGATCCAGCTCAAGGGGGGTCTGGGTCCCACACACGTGCACTCTCTTCTCCCCCAGAGCAGCTGCCTGAGCACAGGGCCTGACCAAGCACCTCCCATGGTCTCTGGGAGCTTTGACTCTTCTCCCCAGTCTGGGGACCTGAGAGAGCCATTGTCCAGTGCCCGACTGGCCTCTCCCCCAAGTCTCCACTCCTCTGGGAAGGGCCAGGCCATCTCCTCACAGCCGCTGGACAGTGAGCGAGTCCTGGAGGAAGGCCGCACTCCCCACCGTGGGCCGGCCACAGTTCGAGGGCAGGAGACAGGAAAGAAGTGATTTCATGGGAAGTGGCACATGGCAGATGTAGCGCAGTCCAGGGCAAAAGCCAGCAATTAGAGCCACCCCACGGTGTAAACCAGGGTGGGTCCTGCTGCTGCCTGCCTGTCCTTGTACCTTCCTGAGCCAGAGGCAGTGATGGGCTGGGGGGCAAGGGCCTTTCTGTCCTGCTTCTGTTCCTGTCAGTCTCCTCCGCCTTGTGCAGGCCCCTTGGTTAACCCTCTCCTCCCCCCATTGTTTGCTTCTGCCAAGCTGAGCCACTGAGGAACCACACTGTGCTGCGGAAACAGCCGCGGGGAGCAGGCTCTGCCCCCTGCCACCGCCACCTGGCCTGCAGCTCTGAAGACCAGCCCAGCCGCCTGCAGGACCTCCTCTCAGCTGCTTGGCCCGGGTCTGCCACCACCAGGTCCTGCAGAGTGAGCCCTGCCTGGTGCGGAGGAGCACTCCAGGCCTCTAGCAGATGAGCCTGGAAGCCCAGAGGGTCAAGAAGTGACTTGTCCAGAGTAACATGTTTTTAATAGGAAAAAAAAATCTTTTTATAAAATGAACTTTTAACACTTGGCTCAAACCTCTAGGTAAAACTGCCAATCTTTAGACGAATAACCATGGGGTCAGAGGACTGAGGGACTGAGATTAGCCAAAAAGCCAGTCGGGAAAGCCCTGTCCTCAGCTTGGGGCCTTGGTCTGGCCTGGGATGTGAGGAGCGGGCAGTGGCCCTGGGTGAGTTGGAAGGAGCAGGCCCAGGTGAGGGATTCCTGAGGGGCTGCTTCTCAGACCCAGCAAGGTGGCTGCTGTCCTTCACAGACTGCTCAGTTTCTGTCCCCATCTAGAGCTGGACTCGGGTTCTTCAGTAAGAACACAGCCTCAGAGGCACCTGGGCTGAAGCAGAGGTTTCTGGTCTGCTCCTGGGGTTCCCAGTGTGAAGGTCCAGGGGCCAGAAGGGAGGTAGGCAAACAGTCTCTGGTGCCAGGATGTCACGGCTGGTACTGGGAGCTCCCGGTGGCTCACCTGGTGGGCATTGGGCACTGCCCAGGCTGGCTGCCCCACATGCCCCGCTGATATTTCTGCCTCAACCAAGTTAAACGGGAAAATCGCCGTGTTTTGGGCATTAATGGGAAGGTCAGCTAAGATTGCTACTTGCCAATTGGCGACTTGCCTGACCAGGTCTGTGTGATTGGGCTGCTTTTGGTTCTCTGCGTTATGGTTTGAGTGTTGAGTTCTCCACTGCTGGGCACATGTGGCTCCAGGGGTGGAAAAAGTAGATGAGGTGACAGTCCATGTGATTCCTCCTGTGTGGCCTTGAGGGCAGGCTGTGTCCTGGCATTCCACTGCTGCTTAGCCCTTGCTTTTCATCCGAAAGTTGCTTGGGGTTGTTCTTCCTGGGCTGGAGAATTGAAGGGGTGGAGGCAAAGCCAGGCCAGCTGCCGTCCAGTCTCTTCCAGGGCAGCGTGCTGCGGGGTCAGCAGGCCTGGGTCGCTCTGGTCCTGGGTGAGTATCCAGGCCTCAGCGGCGCTTCTCTTTCCCAGCAGAGGCTGTGAGTGAGTCTGTGCTGGTGTGCGTGTGCAAGGGCGTGCCCTTGGGCACCTTCCCAGCCCCGGTGGTCACCCCGCAGAGGACAGCAGGCCGTGTCCGTCTGCTGAGCGCCCAGACAGTGCCGTGGGGCGCAGCCCCCTCTGCAGTAGAGGCAGGTTGTCCTCCACTTCCAGACTAAACCAGGGCCTGACACCTTGAAGTTGCACCTGGCCATAGGGATCCTGCCCTCGGGTCACACCACGTGGGAAAGACGCAGAGACCCGGTTCCCGGCCCTGCGCTGGGCTGCTGCCAGCGCCCCCGGCCGCCCCCTCTCCCCCCTTGGCGCTCCTGCTCCTCGGAGCCCGCGGTGCATGAAGCCCTGCTGGCGCAGGAGCTGCCGGAAACACACTACAGAGTCCCTGAAGCTGTCTTGTTTTTAGACACGTGGAGGCATTTCTTCCCCCGAAGCTGCTAGTCCTCTGTATTTATTCAGGTGTCTCCTGCTGGGAAGCCTCCAGGGCTGTGCTCCTGTGCCCCGGGGGCGGGATGGGTTTCTCTCTGAATGTTGAAACTAGGAAAGTGACTGGACCTCTCTTGCTCGCTCTCTCCTTCCTTCTTCCTCTACCTTCCCCAGAAAGGAATATTGCAACTTTAAGGTCAGGCTTCAGGTGGACCGGCCCCTGCGCTTCTCCGTGCACCCCACACCGTGTGGCTCCTGCGTCTGCGCGGTGTTTGGGCGGAGCCCACGTGCGCTCAGTCCTGTGCTGGCCGCAGGTCCCCTGGCCTCTGCTCTCCTCTCACCAGCCGCCCTCCCTCCCGCCTTCCCTCTCGGCCCCTGGCCTCCGCGTCGGGCCTCCGCGTCGGGCGTTCTGGAGGAGCCTGGGGTTGAGCAGGCGGCGGGCGCGGCTTTGCATCAAGACGTTAGAACCTGAGTCTGAACGCGGTCAGCTTTGAGATACCCAGGCCCGCAGAGCGCAGTTCACAAGACCGTTGCTGCTAATGGTGTGGCGATGGGACTGAATTGTAATAAAAATGTTATTTAATCTTTGTCTCTGTATTTTGATACTTGAATGACTTCCCCTTTTGTTTTACTGTACATATAATTGTTAATCTGATTTTGTCTGAATTATAAACATCTTGTGGTACCAAACATAACCAATCTGTGCAGCAACATAGACTGACCTCACTACACAAGAGAGTGTAAATAGTTCTGGGCTTCCAGCTTTGGTTTTGTTATTTTCATAACTGTACAACTTAGAACAGACTGAATTAATAAATGAGAAGTGAAACAAAACCAGCCTTATTTTTTGAAGTCTCTGAAATAGGAACTTTATTTCCTGGCAGAAGCATGTATGTGGGCTGGGTGCTGCTGCAGGGTACGAATAAGCACCCTACTTTGTTTGGCTTAGGTGACAGTTTGGGAATTCTGCTCCCTGCCAGGCATTCTTCAAAGGTAGCTGCCACGGGTGGCCTGTTACAGCTGACCCTGTGAGTGGAGGGGCCCTGCTCTTCACCTCCCCATCCTTAGGAATACCAGAGAAGGGCCACACTGCTGCAGGTACATGTCTGCGTCCTGGGCTGCGCTCTCAGTCCATGAACATTTATTGAACATCCAGGGACCAGGCTGTGCACCTTGGTGGATCTAAAACTGAAGGAAGGCTGTCTCCCTTCAGGAACCTAGAGCTGAAGTGTGGAAGTCAAGTTTTCGATATAACCAGCTAGCTACTGGCCTGCAGCCTCATCGTGAGGCCTGTGAGACAGTCCGAGAGCTGTAACGATGGTGGACAGGGTGGTGCCTGAGCTGGTTTTTAAAGGAGAGAACGTGCCAGGTGCACATCTGTGATCCCAGAGACTTGGGAGGCTAGGACAGGAGGATTGCAAGTTTGAAGCCAGCCTGGGCAACTTAGCAAGACCCTTTCTCAAAAAATAAAAAGGAGATGTAGCTCAGTGGTAGAGCGCCCCTGGGCTCAGTCCCCAGTGCTGGGGAGTGGGAGGGAGAGGAAAGGCACAAACAGGAGCAGCCTCACTGAATACCTGCGTTCCAAGTCCCGTGGAAAACTTTCAAAGCAGCCATCGCCCCAGCCCACGCCTCTATGGGGAGGTATTATCTCTTCTTCATAGAGAAGGAAACAGGCTCAGAAAGGTTAGAACCCCTGCTTAGAGCCAACAGGAGGACTTAGAGACCACCCCAGTGGCTCCAAGCTGCTCCTAGGCCTGCTTCAACCCGAGTGCCCAACACAGAACGTGAGTTTCTGTGAAATCTTCCACTTGTTAAAAGGTTTAAAAACCATGATCAGCCCAGCACCGTGTTTTACTTATGAAGAAAACAAGGTCCAAGACAAGGAAAGGCTCTTGCCTTAGCCAGCCAGCCCATGGCCGAGGGGTCCCGACCCAGGCTCTGCTTCCCAGAGAGCATCGCAGCACTCGGGCTGGACAGCAGGCAGGGCACAGGCTTGGGGCCACCTCTCCAGCCGCTGTGGCATTGTCCGCGGCAGGAGAAACCTGACAGAAGAGACAAGTCTGGTCATAAATAGTGTCACTATGCCATTGCAATATGGCACTGGGACACGTTGCCACTCATGACCTGCTTCTGGTGCCACCCAGAAGCTCACAGGAGGAGACTTCTACTCTGCCCCCAAGGCCACGGGGCTGATGTGCCCAGGCCTGGGAGGGTGGGGAGGCAGAGTCCGTGGCTGGCATCCAGCCTGCCCCTGAGCCAGAGGTAAATTGAAGGGAGAGAAGGAAGAAGGTGGCATCAAGCTGGGAATAGATGGGACACAACAGCAGTGTAGTGTCCCTCTGCCTCTTTAGCCTGGTCTACACCCTGGAAGCACGCGGACTTGGAGCAGGAAGAGGCCAAGCGATGAGCAAAGTGTCTGCTCTCGGGCCTTAGAGTGGAGCATGGGGAACCTCACAGCCCTCTCCCTCCGCTCCTCTCTGTCCCCCTGAAGAGGCCTGTTTCTGTCAACTTCCCCACATCCTTGCTGGTCTCCTCTTCACAGATGTCTGTGGCCAAGCTCCTAGGTGGCTGTGGCAATGCCAGTACCAGTGGAAATGTCACCTTCAGCCAGGAGCGGGCCCTGAGGGGGAAGAACCTGGCCACTGGAGCACTTTCTAAGGCAGTGGGAAACACCCTCCAGTCAGCCGCGGCCACCCAGCTTCCTAGAGCGTGTCCAGGTCCCCCGAGTCCCACAGACAGGCTCAGCCAACCTCAGTGTGTCTTGCACTCCCATGGCACAACTTGTCACCAACTAACACCCAAGGTCTGAACTGTTCAGGCTCGGTGCAGGTGCCAGGACCCCATGCTGTTCTCTCCAGGACTTGGCTGTTGGGGACATAAACAAGCGTGTGCCAAGTAAAGAACTGTCCAGACACCTAAGATAGTTACTATCCGGTAAGTGGAGTGGGGATGACTAGGTAGCCACGGGCTCAGGGTGCAGGAGATTTGTTTTCCTACTTACCCCAAATAAATCCCAGATGGCTCACATATATCCAAATGTAAAAAAGAAAAGAAACCTCAAAGCTAGGAAAAAAGGGAGACATTTTTTCATAATCTTGGTATGAGAAAGTTCTTTTCAAACGTATTACAAAACTCTTGAATTCTTTTTTTAAAGACTAACATATTCAACTACATAAGACACAAACAGTCCTGCATAGCAAACTGCTCCATTAAGAAAAACAATAAAAATTAAAAAAAAAAAAAAAACAATCAGGGCTGGGGCTGGGGCTCAGTGGCAGAGTGCTTGCCTCGCATGTGTGAGGCACTGCGTTTAACCCTTAGCACCACATAAAAATAAGTAGAATAAAATCATGCTGTCCATCTACAACTACAAGAAATAAAATTTAAAAAGAAAAGAAAATGAAACAATTAGCCAGGTGTGGTTGTACATGCCTGTAATCCTAGCTACTCAGGAGGCTGAAGCAGGAGGATCCTGAGTTCAAGGCCAAGCCTGGACAACTTAGTGAGACCCCCAGTTTCAAAAAATAAGAAGGGACCTATCATGTATAACAAATTAGAATAAATAAATTTTAAAAAATAAGAAG